CAGCAGGAAGCCTGCTTCCTCCTCTCTCTCTCTGCCTGCCTCTCTGCCTACTTGTGATCTCTCTGTCAAATAAATAAATAAAATCTTAAAAAAAAAAAAAAAAAAGAAGAAGAAGAAGAAGGCTACTGAATTTAACTACATCAAAATGTAAATCATCTTTATGCCTTAAAGTGAAAATTCAAGTAACTGGCAGTAAGTTTTGCAACATACCTAACATAGAAAAGGTTGTTTGGAAAAAATAAAGAACTAAAATTGGAAGACAAGCAAATAGCAAATGGATGGACAAAGTCTAGGAACAGTCTATTCCCAGAGGCAGAAGCCGGAAACACTGATCTTTACTTATAATCATGACGCGATGCCGTTACGCGTCAGACTGACATATCGTGTTGGCTGTGTTACGAGGGAGAATCTTTTCTACAATTAGTGGAATAAATTGATACAACTACGTAGAAAAGAATCAAGGAAAATCTAGTAATATTGAAAAGGAGCCTATCTTGCAAATTAAGTTGTTAATCCACCTGGGCAAAGATACTGTTTATTTTTATAAAGCCTGGAAATAATTTATTTTTTTATTTTATTTTATTTTTTTAAAGATTTTATTTATTTATTTGACAGAGAGAGATCACAAGTAGACAGAGAGGCAGGCGGGGAGAGAGAGGAGGAAGCAGGCTCCCTGCTGAGCATAGAGCCTGACGAGGGACTTGATCCCAGGGCCCTGAGATCATGATCTGAGCGGAAGGCAGCGGCTTAACCCACTGAGCCACCCAGGCGCCCAAGCCTGGAAATAATTTAAATGCCATCTTCAGGGAAATGGGATAAGTAAAGTCTGATCTAGTGATGTGATGAGCCCAGGACATAGCAGTTAAGGGATGAACTAGATTATTCCAGTTAAATATTTTGTGGAAAAACAAGATGTTTTTTAAGGTATGAGTTTTTAAAAAATAATAATATGTAGTGCTAACTTTAAAAAAAGCAGGGGGAGTGCCTGGGAGCCTCAGGCGGTTAAACGGCTGCTTTTGGCTCAGGTCGTGATCCTAGGGTCCTGGGATCAAGCCCCACATCAGACTCTCAGCTCATCAGGGAGCCTGCTTCCCTTCCTCTCTCTATACCGGCCTCTCTGCCCACCTGTGATCCCTTGTCTTGTCAAATAAATAAATAAAATCTTAAAAAAAATTTTAAAAAAGAAACCATCTCTACCATCCATCTCCATGATGTTTTTTATGTCCCTCAACTGAAACTCTAGCTATTAAACAGAAACTCCCCACTCTCTTCCGGCAACCCCCTACAGTGACCATTCTACGTTCTATCATTTTGACTTTTCTAGGTTCATCCTGAAAGTGGAATCACGTTATTTGTTCTTCCAAGACTGATTTACTTCACTTAGCATAATGTCTTCAAGGTGCATCCATGTGTAACATGTCAAGGTTGCCTTCCTTAAAATCTTAAATATTGTATATTTTAGTCGATGCATATGTGTATTTTTATACTTCAAAATAATTTTTCCAAAGGAATTGGTTAACAAAGATGTAAGGAAAGCTTATTCTGATTTAGATACTTCACCGTAATTTGTTTCTGATGCAGTGTGACTTCAACCAGGGAAAGCATGGCCTACACTGTGGAATGCCTGCGGGACCATGTGTAAGTACCTGCATGGGTTGACGACACCTGCTTTTAAAGAAACACGTAGCTGCTCAGGTGTCGTCTTTTTTAATGTTGCCTTATGACCTCTGATTTTGGTTTTGGGTTCTTGCTCAGAAATGTAGAACATTGTGCTTATCACAAGGCCTAAAACTTAATACCGAGAACATTACGTTTACGTTGCATGGACATTGGTTTTAAATTTTTGACTCGAAGCTCTCCTCTTGATGTCTTCTGTAGTGATATTCTAATGGAGTTCCTGCTCAATGTCACCACATCACCAGAATTTCGTCGTTGGGAAGTGGCTGCCCTTCAGTCTCAGCTAAGGACTGACAAAGCTGTAGCTTTTCAGAATCCACAGGCTCGTAAGTACATTTTCAGATCCCGTTCACTTGCTTCTAAGATACTGGGTTTTTGAGGGGCGCCTGGGTGGCTCAGTCGGTTTCACGTCTGCCTTCGGCTTTGGTCATGCATGATCCTGGGGTCCTGGGGTCAAGCCCCACATGGAGCTTCCTGCACAGCAGGGAGCGTGCTTCTCCCTCTCCCTCTGCTGCTTCCCCTGCTTGTGCGCGTGCTTTCTCTCTCTCTGCCAAATAAATAAATGAAATCTTGTTTAAAAAAAAAAAGATATTTGGGTTTTTGAGATGATCAGTTTGTAGAGGAAAGAAATTGCCATTGAAATTTTTCTCTGCTTGCGTTTAAAACTGCCTTTTCCAAAACCGGTCTGGTTTCTTAACTATTATTCCAGTGTTTCTACACATTCATATTGTTGATTGTTTTTCATCTTTGATAGGATGTAAGTTAATTATAGAATCCCTGTTTCAGAATTTAGAATACGGTGTTTTTTCAACAGTTTGTTGATACCAAGCCCAGCAACAGTTCATGGTTGCTGCTGGTATTACTGTTTAGCCACTTACCTTTACTGGATCTTTCCAAAGCAAACACTCTAATTTTTTAAAAAATAAGACCTTTCTTGGTGTTCATATTTTGTGTTTATGTAATGTTAAATATATAATCTTGACAAGTATGCCTAGCAAAACAAATTATTAAATAAGCACCCCTGGCTCTTAGAAGTCCTACAACTTCAGGAGGAGCCGAGGTTTGCAGGTGGGCCACTCAGGTATGAATAGGTGACCAGCTGCAGGGACCCTGCGTGGGATGGGCCTCAACCAGAATGCAAGCCTTTCAAGAGTCTGGAGCAAAGTGAGAGCTTGGTTGATGCTAGCTAATATTATTTCATGGTGATACTTTGTTTTACAAAGGAGTATGATCTTCCTGACTCTGGACCTCCACCAAAGAAATAACGAATTGTAGAAGAGATGACTTATGTGTCAGTAGTGACTTCTTCCCTGCTGTTAGCAATGAGGCTCCAGCCCTCAGCCTTTCTGCCTGGATAGTTACTGCCATCTCCTGGCTGCTCTCTGTCCCCAAGTCCACATCTTTAGTCCGTCTACCACATTGCCGTTACAGCAAACCTTCCAATGTGAAAATCCTTAAAAGCTTTCTTACTGTCTGTGGGACGAAGTTCAAACTCTTCAACTTAGCATGTATGTTAACTTCCACAGTCTGGCTCCTCCCCACCTCTCTTGCCTCTTGCGCTACCTTCTTCCCTTCCCAGCTGTAATTTCCCTTGGAATCCATTGTCATACTTTAAGCCTTTGTCTGTTTTCTCTGCCTGAAATGCCACTCCCTAATCACTCTCCTAGTAAACACCTACCCATTCTGTAAGACTCATTCCAGATTTTACTTGTTACTTCTTTCCAATTCCCACCGCCCTTCCCTTGCACCCCTGCTGCTCTTTTGCTCTAGTACACCCGTCATGCCTAATTTCACCATTTTCCCTCTCAACATATTGAGGGCAGGCATTTATTTCGTCTTACTCATCTCTGTATTTCCAGCACCTAACAGTTCTGGCATAGGGTGGTTGCCCAAGTAATGAGCAAAGGCACTGACTGAAACGGGAAGCAGGGACAGTGTTCGTGCTCCAGCGAGGAGTACACTCTGACCTCCGCAAGCTAGCAATAGGACTTAACACTGGCACTTCCATATATCTTTTTTTTTTTTTTTTTTTTTTAAGATTTTTTTTTTAGTTATTTGACAGAGATCACAAGTAGGCAGAGAGGCAGGCAGAGAGAGGAGGAAGCAGGCTCTCTGCTCAGCAGGGATGCGGGCCTCGATCCCAGGACCCTGGGATCATGACCTGAGCCGAAGGCAGAGGCTTTAACCCACTGAGCCACCCAGTTGCCCCTCCATATATCTTCTTAACCTGACACCTCCTCATTACTTAGCGACCATAGGAGTAACTTCAAGGTAAATGACTTTCCTAAGGTCACACGGTACATTGGTGGCAGAACTATAACTGGATTCAGACTTGAAACCCAGGCCATTATACTCTCCAGATGATATCAGGTAGATTAAAGTTAGAGAAGTGGTCAGGTGAGCCCTGGTATGTAGAAGCTGCTGTTATATATAATTTCTTACTTTTCTCAGCACATTCAGCAGGCCGACTTTTAAATTTCAAGCTCTCATGACATTTGAATGCCATAAGGTGACCAAAATTGTATAGTCTAGTTGCTTTCCAGGTTCAGAAAACATTGTCTTATTTGAATTACTTTTCCGCAAAAAGTTCTTTTCTTATTTTACAGATGTCCTTGAAAATCTGCATGCTGCGGCTTACCGAAATGCCTTGGCCAATTCTCTGTATTGTCCTGATTATAGGATTGGAAAAGTGACACCAGATGAGGTACTGATAAAAGCATATTACATTTTAAAATGTGCTTGTTTTCACACTAAATTGGACATTCATCTGCCATTTTAGGTTTGTTTGTTAATTTTTCTTTTTATCTTCAAATTTTAAAAATTCACCTGGTGGCTTTATTTTTTTATTTTTCCATCAGCTTGCCTTTTTAACTGAAATCTATCTGAACAACTTTTACAGCTTTTACTAAAAGAAGTTTTTCTCACAAAAGGGACATGTTCATTTCAGAAAACGAGTGCAAGCCAAAAAAAAAGAATCTCACACACAAAAAAAAAAAGGGGCGCCTGGGTGGCTCAGTGGGTTGGGCCGCTGCCTTCGGCTCGGGTCATGATCTCAGGGTCCTGGGATCGAGTCCCGCATCGGGCTCTCTGCTCAGCAGGAAGCCTGCTTCCCTCTCTCTCTCTCTCTCTGCCTGCCTCTCCGTCTACTTGTGATCTCTCTCTGTCAAATAAATAAATAAAATCTTTAAAAAAAAAAAAAAAAAGAATCTCCCATACCTAAAGGCACTGAATGTTAATGCCTGGGTATGTTTTCTTCTGAACCTTTTTCTGTGTATATTTATCTTTTTTAAACAGTATTTACATTTTAAATTTCATCTTTTGACCAAAAGTCTTCCTTTAACAGCTCAGTATGCAGGTAGGAATGAACCCACGTCACCTCCCCATCCGTCGTCAGGCTGCTCACTAGCTTACTGGCCTCCTTCAGCACCTGGCCTTACTTTGCTTTGCTTACTTTTTTACATATATATCATAGCCATATATGTAACATAAAACTTCACATCTAAAATGTGAAACATTCAATGTCAAAGTGTATCTCCTACAAGTACAGGTGCATGTACATAATCTTAATTTCCTACTCCTACATCCTGCAAAGAAAATGTTTTATCAAAAACGTTAAAAGAAAAATTGGAAATTATCAATACTTGCAAAGTGTGTCTATGATTCAGAAGTTAGGGTTTTATTCTCATTTCATTTCTGGTTACGCACTAGAGAAAACTGAACTGTATATCCTATCCCTTTACTCTTTTATTTCCTGGTTAGAAAACTCTTCACTTTATCAATCAACAGTTTAATGCCTAGCATTCTTATGGCACTTTTAAAAAATTACAACTGATATCATTCAACCTGAACAGTGAACATTTTTTATAAGACTGGCCTCTCATGAGTTTTGAAATTTTTCAGACATCAAAATCACCCATGTGAAGATACATTATTGAGGTAGCTAAAGAGTATGCATAGCAAAATATTTGTCCACCAGGATGTCTGCTGTAGCATTGCTTTTAATTGTGAAAAATTAGACACAAGTTAAATACCCAACTTTAGGGGACTAGTTAAGTAACTTACTAAGTATCTGTGGAATGGAATACTATTCAGCCATTCAAAAATACTGACAGGGAAAAATTCCGTAGCATATTTTCAGGGTAGAAAACATAATTTATGAATAGGATATACCACAGGATCTCAATTTTTAGAAAATAAGGTGTGTGTGTATCCATGCTGGGAAGATACTAAGATATTAACCATGATTACCTCAAAGTTACTAGCATTTTTAAATATGTCCTTGGTCTAAAGGAAATTCTAAAGAAATTGTTACTAGAATTCTTTGAGTGATGGCAGCATTGAGTAGGGGAAAAAAATGTGATTCCACACGGACTCAAGAGATGTAGGCACCATTCACTTTAGGATACAAATTCTGGTAACGTGATTCAGTTGCATTACCTTAGCCTAACGATTCTCAACATTATGACCCATTACCTAGGAACCTTTTCAGCCAATTTTTGTACTCTGGCTCAGAGTGAATTTTTAATGTCAGACACACTGTCTGTCTGTTTCCATATGTACATGTATATATATTTGGTTTTTTTTTTTTTAAGATTTTATTTATTTATTTGACAGACAGAGATCACAAGTAGGCAGAGAAGCAGGCAGGGAGAGAGGAGGAAGCAGGCTCCCCACTGAGCAGAGAGCCCGATGCGGGGCTCGATCCCAGGACCCCGGGACCATGACCCGAGCCGAAAGCAGAGGCTTTAACCCACTGAGCCACCCAGGCGCCCCTATATATTTGTTTTATAAATAAAAGGAGTAAAATGTTTTTCTTCCCCGAGGGCCAATTTTCACTCCTTGGGAGCAACAGTCCTCCTATTGAGGATAGGTTTTAGGACTACTATAAAATGTTAATTTTTTAAAAAAAAATGTTAATAGTACTTTTTTTTTTAATCTATACAAAGACAAAAGAAATCTGCTTCACGTCTGCTAAAATCACATAATAAAAGTCATAAGCTTAGTCTCATTTTTTTCAAATTCAGGCCAGTATGTCCTTTTTTTTTTTTTCAGGACTTTTTTTTTTTTTTTAATATTTTATTTATTTATTTGACAAAGATAGAGATCACAAGTGGGCAGAGAGGCAGGCAGAGAAAGAGGGGGAAGCAGGCTCCCTGCTGAGCAGAAAGCCGGATGCAGGGCCCAATCCCAGGACCCTGAGATCATGACCTGAGCTGAAGGCAGAGGCTTAACCCACTTAGCCACCCAGGTGCCTCTTTAGGTCGTTTTTTAATCCTTTTTTTTTTTTTTTCCACTATAGCTTTACTGAGATACAATTCACATGTCATACAGGTCACCTACATAAAGTGTACAATTTAGGGGCATCTGGGTGGCTCAGTCAGTTAAGTGTCCGACTCTTGGTTTCAGCTCAAGTCATGATCTCAGGGTCATAAGATTGAGCCCCATGTCAGGCTCTACACAGGACATGGACCCTTCTTGAGATTCTCTCCCTCCCTCCCCCAACTCATGGGCATGCGTGCTCGCTCTCTCTCTCTCTCTCTGTGTGTAAAATAAAGAAAATCAAAAAGAAAAAAGCAAAGCACACAATTCAGTAGTTTTCACTATATTCACCATCATGTAACCATTACCACATTAAGTTCTAGTTCTTTTAATCAATAGTTTAAAAAAATAAAAGCAGTATAATTCAGCACTAGATAGTCTGTAGCTCACTACAGTAGCTTTTAAGCCTGAGTATTTTCTGTCGCCCTGCAGTTTTAATTTTTTACAGCTTTTTGTATCTATACCAACGTAACCTCACAAAATGTTCTTAATTTTCTCAGTTGCATTACTTTGTTCAGAACCATTTCACAAGTGCGAGAATGGCTTTGATTGGACTTGGTAAGTTGGGAATTGCTTGCATGTCAGTCTGTTTCTTTAAGAGTAGTCTTTTTAAGCTATAGTTATGTGAGCACAGGATTGAACCGTATTTGATAACTCAGTCCTCTGTTGATGTCAGACGGGCACTGTGTGATAGGATCTTAATTGGTAGGTTGTTTTGTGTTAGTAAGCAGAATTCCAATACTTAACTATGTAAACTACTGGCTTTGAGTTTATTAGAGTATTTGAAAAATCTATGATAAAGGGCAAATTTCTCTAAGCAAAGTGCTTTTACAAGTTTTTTGTTTTAAAGAAGTATAATGTAATTGAAAATAGGTGAAGGGCACAAATAATTCATGGGGAAAATGTGTGTGTATATGTGTGTAGCCAGTTATTGTAAAAGAGAGCCTTGCCTGATAGTTAAAATTTTAACCCATGAGATTGGCAAAAATTGAAAGATTGATACTGCCCAGTATTAACCAGGGTATGGAGAAATTAAGCATTCCCAAAAATTGTTGGTGGGAATAGAAAGTCGTATATTTTTGGAGGTCTCTTTAAATATATTAAAATTTTAAATATTGATACGTTTAGACCTAGCGATTTTGTTTTTAGGGATTTATCTTACAGAAACACTTGGTCAGGTTTACAAAATAATTGCGCCAAGATATTATTTGCAGTATTGTTTTTTGGTTCATTGGTTTTGTAAATAATCACATAATTGAGGTGCAATTCAAACACCATAAAATCCACCTTTTTAAAGTATACGGTTCCATGAGTTTTATTCTGTTCAGCGGGTGTTACAACTATTACCACTATCTAATTTCAGAACATTTTCATCAACCCCCCCAAAACCCTGTATTCATTATAGTCACTCCTTATTCCACCTCCTCCCTGCCCCTGGCAACCAATCTCCTTCCTGTCTCTATAGAGTTGACTCTCCCAACATTTCATGTAAATGGAATTCTACAGTATATGGCCTTTTATAACTGACTTCTCACTTGGCATCTTTTTGGAGTCCATCCATACTGTAGCACATGCCAATGTTCACTTCCCTTTTCTGGCTAAAATACTCAATTACCACTTTTCATTCATCTGTTCATCACTTGGGCATTTGAGTTGTTTTCAGCTTTTGGCTGTTGTAAATAAAAACATTCATATATACGTTTTAGTTAGAACCAGGTGGTTCTAACCTGTTCCTTCTTCAGGGTATATCATAAATAAAATTGCCAAGACCTGTGGTAACTGTTGTCTGACGCAGTTGAAACACTTGACATCCCCCACCCCCACCCCCTGCCCGACGCACAGGGGTTCTAGTATCTCCACTTCATCACCAGCACTTACTGTTACCTTTTTGGTGATGGCCATCCTAGCGTCTGTGAAGTGCTATCTCATTCCATTTGTGTCTCCCTAAGAACTAATGACGTTGAACATCTTTTTGTGCTTTTGGGGCATTTGTATATCTTCTTTGGAGAGATGTCTGTTCAAGTCCTTTGCCCATTTTTCGATTGGGTTGGTTTTTTATTATTTTTGAATTGTAAGAGTTTTTTATGTACTTGGATACTAAATCCTCATCAGATACATCATTTGCAAGCATTTTTTTCCCAGTCTGTAGGTCCATTTCACTCTTGAAAGTGTTCTTAGATGTGGTATATATACATATAGTGGAATACTACTCAGTCATCAAAAAAGAATGAAATCTTGCCATTTGCAACAATGTGGGTGAAACTAGAGGGTATTATGCTAAGTGAAATAAGTCCGTCAGAAAAAGGCAATTATCAAATGATTTCACTCATAGGTGGAATTTAAGAAAACAGATGAACATAGGGGAAGGGAAGGAAAACTAAAAGACAAAATCATAGAGGAAGACAAACCAAAAGAGAGTCTTTAACTGTAGGAAACAAACTGAGGGTTGCTGGAGGGGAAGTGGGAAGGAGGATGGGGTAACTGGGTGGTGGCATTAAGGAGGGCACATGATGTAATGAGCACTGGGTGTTACGTGTAACTCATGAATCACTAAACTACTCCTGGAAGTAATAATACACTATGTTAATTGATTTTCAATTTAGCAAAAAAAAAAAAAAAAAAAGTGTTCTTTGATGCACAGTGCAGTATTGTTTTAATAGCCAATGATTGGAAACATGCTAATGTCCATCAAGAAGGGACTTATTAAATAAATGATAGTATATCTATATAATGGAATTCTTTATAGCTGTTAAATGTTTGCTCTAGAACACTCAGATATAAATTATGAAAGACAAGTTAGAAACAATATAAATAGAATAACACCATTTTAAAAAGAAAAGAAAATGAGGATGATATTCATACAAGTATAGACAAAAGTTCTAGATGAGTATGTATTAGTGAACTATAAATGGAATCTCTGGGAGAGTAGCATGGCAATGGGGGACTCTTGTTTTCTTTACTGGTTCTGTAATTACTTGAATTGTATAATCCCATATTATTTTTAAAACAGATGTTTTACAATTTGTATTTTAAAAATTACGGTTCTAGCTCTGTTTTGTTTCTATTGAAATAGGTGTGAGTCACCCTGTTCTAAAGCAAGTTGCAGAACAGTTTCTCAACATGAGGGGTGGGCTTGGTTTACCTGGTACGAAGGCCAAGTACCGTGGAGGTAAGCATTTTGTTGTTAGGGCCGGTTTATCAGAAGGACGTGTCCCATCAGAGTCGTGTATCGGAGTAGGATAGGCCTGATCACTTACCACCAAACAGATTCCGTGTGGAAGGAAGGGATTAGATTGCTTGGGTGTTGTATATTAAACATGTTTTGTGTGTGTGTTGCGGGGAGAGCAAGACCGTATGCTGGGAGCACCAGGCCACAGAAAACCTTAATCTTACTGGGTTAATACTGTGTCGTAGAGAATACGGAAGAATAAAGCCGATGGTGACCAAACCTCTTTCTTCCTCACTCTCTCCTTGCTTGGCACAGGTGAAATCCGAGAGCAGAATGGAGACAGTCTTGTTCACGCTGCTCTGGTAGCTGAAAGTGCTGCCACAGGAAGTGCGGAAGCAAATGCATTTAGTGTTCTCCAGTATGTTCTTGGTGCCGGACCACATGTCAAGAGGGGCAGCAATCCCACCAGCTCTCTGTACCAGGCTGTTGCCAAGGGAGTTCACCAGCCATTTGATGTGAGTCTGAATAGTCAGCATCTGTCCTTTTGTTTGTAAAGGCTCCGTATGTATTGTGTAGTCCTCTTGATCTGCTTTTAAAATTTAAGGTGAACACCAAGAAAATCTTCATAAAATTGAAGAGATAGCCCGGCTTGAGTTTAGTTCCTTAGGGTCTAAGAAAAAACTTACTTACTGTAAGTTACTTAAAAAACTTACTTACTGTCTTTTCAGTTATTCTAGTATAGAAAGAGGGGAATGCTTAAAAAATCAGAAATTCATCCTTCAGTGCCCTTTAGAATAAAGTTTCAGATATTAAACATTTTCCTAGATTCTAGTTAGTCTTTTTTTCTGGATTTTCTTTTTTCCTCTTGTGTTATTGTGGCTATTTCATGAATTTCATTCCTCTTCATGTTTTCCAACCGAATGTACGGCATGTACACTGAGAAATTGTTTACACACCCATCCCTCCGGTTTGAGATTAAGTAAAGAAAGAAATGAGGGGCGCCAGGGTGGCTCAGTCAGTTCAGTGTCTGCCTTCGGCTCAGGTCAGGATGACCAGAGTCCTGAGATCCAGCCCTGCATCAGGCTCCCTGCTCACTGGGGACCCTGCTCTGCCTGCCGCTCCCCCTGCTTGTGCAAGTGTGCACTCGCTTGCTCGCTCTCAGATAAAATCTTTAAAAAGAAAAAGGAAAATGATGGAACAAAAAGCTGTTACTCTAGAACACACTTTTTATGACAGTGAGTAAAGAGCTAAAGCTTTCAAAATAATGATACTTAAAAGAATAAAAAGTGTCGGCGAGCAGACTGCTTTAATGAGTGTCCATTGTTTGCCCAATGTAATACCCCACATGACCTTCAATGGTAAACCTTTAAAAGGCAACAAATATACTACATTATAGGATTAAATATTGTTCATGATTTTATAACAGTACATGGCACAAGTAGGTAGTCTTTGGCCATTTGACTGTGAAGAGTAGAAATAAAGTCAACCCCTCTTTCATTCCTCTGTTTAATACTGTCAATCCAAAATGAACAAAACTTACAGAATTTCTAAAAGTAGGAAAGAGTTTTATTAGAGCCCAAGTCAGGACAGCTGCCCAGGAAACATGCCCTTTGTTTGTTTGTTGTTGTTTTTTAAGGATTTTTTTATTTATTTGACAGAGATTACAAGTAGGCAGAGAGGCAGGCAGAGAGAGGTGGAATCAGGCTCCCTTCTGACCAGAGAGCCCAATGCGGGGCTTGATCCCAGGGCCCTGGGATCATGACCTGAGCCGAAGGCAGAGGCTTTAACCCACTGAGCCACCCAGGCGCTCCTGGGAACATGCTCTTCACAGGGAAGAAAGGCTCTGGAGGATGAACAGTTTTTATAGGATTATTTACTTTTTTACATTTTGTAAAAGCTCAAAAGATTTATAGATTAGCATACAGGCAGGAATCAAAAGTTTTATTGTAAAGGAATATAGGGAGTAGGGGCACTGATCATTATTTTAAGGACAACCTGATTTTCCTGTAGGCTACTCATTCACAAAACAGATGTATGGTGCATTTGTGTGTTTCAGGCCAGAAATCAGGCTTTTGGTTTGAGCAAAGTTCATTATATATGGTCATGTTGATTTAGAAATCTAAAATGGGGGTTGCCTAGGTGGCTCAGTCGGTTAAAGCCTCTCTCTTCGGCTTGGGTCATGATCCCGGAGTCCTGGAATCAAGCCCTGCGTCGGACTCTCTGCTCGGCACGGAGCTTGCTTTCTCCTCTCTCTCTGCCTCCTTCTCTACCTACTTGTGATCTACGACTGTCAAATAAGTAAATAAAACCTTTAAAAAAAAAATAGAAATCTAAAATGGTTCTCCCGTATCTAAGGCTTTTAGAGGGTTTTTCTCTCTTAAATGATGGTTTTCAAACTTTTTTTTTTTTAAGCAGGGGAATCTTTTTCATCCCATACAGTTTCCCAGCTGCAATGCTGAACACAAAAATGTTCACTTTTAAAGAAATTTTTTAATGTTTACTTGACACTGAATGCCTTGGAATTTTCTCTGTAGAATCTTGGAGTTCCCTGGAGCATAGTTTGAAAACAGTTCTCTTAAATTAGTCCTACATTAAATTTAGCTGCTGCTTTTTTTTTTTTTTTAAGATTTTATTTATTTATTTATTTGACAGAGATCACAAGTAGGCAGAGCAGCAGGCAGAGAGAGAGGGGGAAGCAGGCTCCCCGCTGAGCAGAGAGCCCGATGTGGGGCTCGATCCCAGGACCCTGGGATCATGACCTGAGCCGAAGGCAGAGGCTTAACCCACTGAGCCACCCAGGCGCCCCTAGCTGCTGCTTTTTAAATCCCCTCTATGTTTCCTCTTTCCTTGCTCATGCTACTGTTTTCTTCATGCTTCTCTTTACCACTGAATGTTAATGATGCTTTTGGGTGGCTGCAGTTCAGTTCTGATCAGTGATGTAATTTAATGGAAATTCCTACTTTAGCATTTGGCCAGAAATTTGAGGTATGAATAGGATCGTCTCAAAATCGTAATTAAACTTCAAATCATTAAAGGGCATTTCTTCTTATGCTTTCTATGGGCTAAGCCAGTGGTTCTCCAACTTTAACATGCATAGGAATCACCTGGAATTATTTTTGAAATGCGGCTTTCCAGATTGCATCTATGGGGATCTGATTGAGTAAATCTGTTACAGGAACTTGAAAGTCTGTATTTTTAAAAACAGCCTGGGTGATCTTTTTGTAAAGCATCCACATAAACACTGGGAAACACAACACTGAGCATTCGTGTTCACCTTAGGGAGCTTAACACTCTGCTTAGACTGCAGTCAGCAATACCCAGTCCTGAGGCTGAACTTGCGGCTACCTTGGATGTCTGATAACGTCTACTGACCATTTTCCCCCAACCCTTTGACTTTAGTCTGTAGGAGAAGTGTAAGTGAATTTGCAAAACAAGAGGTCCCCAGCACTAGCAGAGGGAACACAGTAGGCTTGTCTGATACCAAAGCTCACAGTTTGTACCACTCAGCCATCCTGCAGCTGTGATAATACTGTTCACAAATAAATGTTTACGTTAACCTTTAATCATCAAAGAACGTTAGAAAATACCCAGCAAAAAAGTAAAGCAAGCAGTCTGTTTTAGAAAGATTTAAGTGAAAAATGTTAAAACCATTATGGTTTTGAAAGAAGTAACCCGAATCCGAAACACTGCAGTCCTTGCCAGAACTGCTTACATGGAATCGTAATTCATCTCTTTCGCTTGTACCGGGAAGGTCCCAGGTTTTTGTCTGTGTGGGAAATTGGGCCCTGTTTTCCCTGGTAAAATGACATACAGTAAAATTTCGTTATATTTCAGGTTTCCGCTTTTAACGCCAGTTACTCGGATTCTGGACTCTTTGGGATTTACACCATCTCACAGGCTGCTGCAGCTGGAGATGTAAGTTGCGAACTCACCAACTCTCACAAGTGTTCTTCCTCCATTAACATGTTTTTAGTAAAAAAAAAAAAAAAAAAATAGTGTTTGAAAGCCATGACTGATCAGAGCTCTGTATAGTGTAATATCATTACCATGTGTCTGCCTAGAACCAACTTAAAAATGTTTATTCATGGGGCGCCTGGTTGGCTTAGTGGGTTAAAGCCTCTGCCTTCAGCTCGGGTCATGGTCCCAGAGTCCTTGGAACGAGCCCTGCGTCGGGCTGTCTGCTCAGTGGGGAGCCTGCCTCCCTGCCTGCTTCCACCCCACCGTCTGCCTCTCTGCCTACTTGTGATCTCTATCAAATAAATAAATAAAATCTTTAAAAAAAAATTAAAAGGTTATTCATGCTTCCAGGAAAGAGGGAAGAAGTGTCTCCTAGGTATTTTGGTTCTGTTTGGGCAGGTGGCATTGAGTTGTCTCTCTGGGACATGTCAGTTGAGAACTCAGGTGACACCAAGGCCAGCATATATGTCCTCAACGTAGAGATTGTGTTGAAGTCAGGGTTGTGTGTGAAAGACTGCAGGAGAAGGCTGAAGCTTGAATTCCTGGGGAGTCCCACCAAGCGGCTAGGGGAAATGGCCCAGAAAGGAAGAAGAGAAACTGGTATTTTTAAAAGGCCAGGAAAGAGAGAATGGTTAACACCATTTTGATCCATTCTGGATTAACATCCAGTTAATTACCAGAGAGCCTTGGTGGTTATAGCAAACCAGGACATCGCTGGTAATATTATTTCAGTTTTCACCAGAGTGTTAGAAGTGAGCTAAAATTTATAGTGTTCAGGAATGAATGAGAAAAAATGTGAGGTTGGCATTGGCAGGTGGAACTCATATTTGCAGGGGAGGTAGGAAGTAGTTTTAGGAGAATTTATACTGAGAGACTGAGCTGGGAGAGAATTCATACTGAAGGGAAAGATTGGAGCAGATACAGAACACAGGAAATGATAAATGGATCGGGTCTGAAAAATCGTGAGCGTGTGGGGTGCAGAGTACAAATGGACATGTTGTGTTAGCCTTGCACACAAAGGCTGCTGGGGGCAAGATGGGGAAGTACATCGCAGTGAGGGAGGAGGCTGTCATGTCTTGAGAGTAAGAAAAGGTAGGAGAGTTAAAATAACGAGATTTGGGAGAAATGCATGGCTAGATACATATAGAATGGGCATCAACGGGGTATCTCCTGGAGGGGAGAAACCACAGATTCCTACCGTAGTCACGTACAACGCTTACTACACATATCGTCACATATTAGTCCTTTCATAGTTTTTCTTCGGTAGTATTTCTGATGGAAAAGTGGAGGGGGCAGGTCGTAGGGTTGATCCAGGGTTGGAAGCCTGCAAAGTGGACAGGTCAGAAGTATGGGCAGATGGCAAGGGAGTGGGGCACACTGACGAGGGTGACTGAAGGAGTGATTTGTGGATCTCGGCCAGAGAACTGAAGCCAGGGGACTTGATTAAAAGGAGACAATTCAAAGAACCAAAGATCTTGATAAAGTGGAACAAGGATTGTGTGATTAAAGACTTAGGCCAGGGGTTGTGGAATGAAGGATTTCACAGAGAGGGCAAATTCAGGTTACATCCAAGTCGGGTGTGGCTGTGCAGGGAAAGAAGGTCCCAGAACGTAGGTATTGAATAGGGATCGGTCAGTGACCCAGGATGGTACCAAGATTGGGATGGAGAAAATCATGGACTGGTTTTATGAACTTATACATCCAACAAATATTTGCCAAACGCCCACCCACATCACTGGAACTTGATTCCTTCTTGACTCTGACATCCCAGGCAGGGATAAGCTTTATAAATCAGCTGTGTGTGAATTACTGCTTTCTTCTTCGTGAGTAGTAAGGGAGAGCAGTATTAATTCCATGATGCTTTGAGAGTCTGGGGCGATTTTAGAGGTATTTATTCTTTATGGGGAATTAGAAATGGCTTTTCCTAAACCATCCTGGCATTCTCTGTGCTGCCACTATTTTTCTAAAAAGCTTGGCTCCAGACAACCCTCTGGGGTTTCCTCCCTCTTCTGGAGCTTTGTACTATCACTCAATAATAAAGTTTGCTATCGCTCAATAAACCTTGCTTTACTGCCCACCATAAATAAATAAATAAATGAATAAAAAGATGACATAGCTTGCTACTTGGGCCATTTCCAAGGTACAAACAGCTGCTTCATGGAACACTGGAAGAATAAGGAACACATAGTGGCAAGAATCCCAAATTGGACACTGTTCTCTTTCTCTGGAACCAACCTTATTACGTCTTACGTTTTTACCTCTGTAGAGGAGCATTTGATTACTTCAGGAGTCTCTGGCACTGATCAGAAATGACCAGCTTTCTCTTGTCTATCCTAGGTTATCAAGGCTGCCTATGGCCAAGTAAAAACGATTGCTCAAGGAAACCTTTCCAACGCAGACATCCAAGCTGCCAAGTAAGTTGCAGTATTAACTGTGTTTTGTGTTTCAACTATTTACAAGTTTTTTTTGTTGTTGTTGTGACATATACCCAAAAGGATTGAAAGGTACAGAAAAGTATTTAAAAGAAAAGGGAAGGGGCACCTGGGTGGCTCAGTGGGTTAAGGCTCTGCCTTTGGCTCAGGTCATGATCCCAGGGTCCTGGGATGGAGCCCCGCATCGGGCTTTCTGCTCAGCGGGGAGTCTGCTTCCTCCTCTCTCTGCCTGCCTCTCTGCCTACTTGTGATCTCTGTCAACTAAATAAAATATTTAAAAACAAAAAAACCCACACTAATAAATAAATAAATAAAAGGGAAACCCCCACATCCTGCCACCTAGAGATAGTTAATATTTTGCTTATTTTCTTGACCATTTTATACATTTTAAACATAATTATTAACTATTATTATATATACTTGCATCTTTTTTTTTTTTAATTAAGATTTATTTATTTATTGGGGCACCTGGGTGGCTCAGTGGGTTAAAGCCTCTGCCTTTGGCTTGGGTCATGATCCCAGGGTCCTGGGATTGAGCCCCACATCAGGCTCTCTGCTCAGCAGGGAGCCTGCTTCCTCCTCTCTCTCTCTCTCTGCCTGCCTCTCTGCCTACGTGTGATCTCTGTCTGTCAAATAAATAAATAAAATCTTTTTTTTTAAAAAAAAAATTTATTTATTTGAGAGAGAGAGATCACACATAGGCAGAGAGGCAGGCAAAGAGAGCTGGACTCGGGGGTCGATCCCAGGACCCTGAGATCACGACCCGAGCCGAAGGCAGAGGCTTAACCCACTGAGCCATCCAGGCGCCCCCCTTATATCCTCTTTAATAGCATGTTTATTGTAGAAATTTGAATATAAGAAACACATAAAAAGGTCAAAAATGACCTGTTACTCCGTACCAATGATTCCTCTTTTTTTAACATTATAGTGATGTTTCCATTTATTCAGATTACTAAAAATCCGTTATAAACAGTATTAACTGGTGTATCCAAATATACTTGTTTGACATTTCCTATAGTTGGAAATATAAACTATAAAAGGTATCTTTGGTCTTAAAACATTTTTGTTTTTCGTAGTATCTTCTTGGTATAGATTCCCAGCTGAGTCAAGAGTTATAATAAATATTATCATAAAAGTCTGTTCAAATACATGTGAGTGTTTATATGTTTATTTTTATATTTCAAAGTCCTAGTGTAGAAAGGTTGTACCAGTTTATAATCACACCACCAATATATGAGAGTGCCTATTCTGCCATAACCATTGGCAATTTCTTTTTTTTAACCTCTTTACTGATATGATAGACCAAAAAAAAATACCACTTGTTTCCCCCACCACTCCCCCCCACCATCCGTGGTTTTGCTTTCCACAGTTACCTGGGGTCAGCCATGGTCTGAAAGCAGATCATCCTCCCTCTGATGTGTCAGAAGGTCATTAGTAGCCAAACACTGTGTCACAACACAACTACATCACTCACCTCACTTCATCTTATCACATAGGCATTTGATCATCTCACATCATCACAAGAAAGGTGAGTATGGGACAATAAGTTATTTTTAAATTAGAGAGGTAGACCATACACACATTAACTTTTATTACAGCATATTGTTGCAATTCTTCTATTTTTTTTAAAGGTTTTATTTATTTATTTGACAGAGAGAGACAGTGAGAGGGAACACAAGCAGGGGGAGTGGGAGTGCTGAGCAGGGAGCCCAGTGCAGGACAATTATTCTATTTTATTATTAGTTGTTAATCTCTTACTGTGTCTAACTTATAAATTAATTATAGGTATGTATGTTAGGAAACACACAGTATATATAGGGTTCGGTACTAACCATGGCTTCAGGCATCCACTGGGGTTCTTGGAAGGTATACCCTGCAGATCACTGTATCTGATTAAAAGATTGAAATACCTGTCTGATTCTTGGTGGTTTTTAAATGCCCACTGTTTTCACTGGGACATCTCTCATTTCACAGCAACATCTCTCATTCAGTAGTTTGCCGAGTCTCTCTAACAAAAAAGACATAATTTGGACCAAGCTGGAAATCAGCTTGCATTTTCATACAGCACTTTAAAACACTTAAATTTGACTCCATCCATTTAGGACAGTTCAAAATGTGAATCGTGAAACTCACACTGTCTTCATGATCGTTTAGTGTTGCCCACAAAGGAAGTATGACAGGCAAATTACGACCCAGGAAGGAACAACTTCCTGGTCATTTCAAATAGTTCCATTAACATTATTACTTCTGGGGGCGCCTGGGTGGCTCAGTGGGTTAAAGCCTCTGCCTTCGGCTCAGGTCATGATTCCAGGATCCTGGGATCGAGCCCCGCATCGGGCTCTCTGCTCAGCAGGGAGCCTGCTTCCTCCTCTCTCTCTCTCTCTGCTTCTCTGCCTACTTGTGATCTCTGTCTGTCAAAATAAATAAATAAATAAATAAATCTTAAAAAAAAAACATTATTACTTCTGTTATACTGAACACAGTAAAAATTGCATCTCTTCAACAGTACAGTACAGTTTATTAAGTAATAGGTACATGGAACAAAGGATCGGTTAATAGGATGCAGTTCTGCATGATTGCACCACAAACAAAACATGATGAGAATAAACTGAAACACTGGATTTACTTAAGAAAAATCTGTTTCATATCTAATTTATTTAAGAAAATATATTTCCTTCAGTGTAGCACAGTTTTTATAAGGTACGGCAACATGTAGAAAATAGAATTTCAGTTATTAATATTGAGAAATGTTTTGTTTTCTGCCATTTTGATGGAGTTGATACTTTTTCTTGTAAGGTTCTTATTAGTCTTCCTGTACTGAAAGAAACAAAGTAAGGTATCATTTGTGAAGGGACAAACTAATAATCTCTTGGTAAAGTTTACTGTAGGTAAAAAAAATTTACATTTTTATTTAAATTCCAGTTACTTAACATGAAGTATAATATTAGTTTCAGGAGTACAATACAGTGATTCAACACTTCTATACATCACCCAGTGCTCATCATAGCAAGTGCCCTCCTTAATCCCTATCACTTTCTCAGCCATCCCCCCCACCCGCCTCCTCTCTGGTAGCCATCAGTTTGTTGCCTAGAGTGAAGAGGTAAAATCTTTGGGGAACCAGGGTGACTCAGTTGGTCAAGCGTCCAACTCTTGGTTTCAGCTCAGGTCATGATCTCAGGGTCCTGAGATCAAGCCCCGCATTTGTCTCCGTGCTGGATGTAGGACCTGCTTGAGATTCTCTCTTTCCTTCTCCTTCTGCCCCATCCTCCCTCTCTTGGGGGGGAAAAAAAAAGAGGTAAAATCTTTTTTAAATTAAGCAGACACTGTGGTAAAATTGCTGCATTAAATTGTGATTATGTGTAAATGCAAGTCTTGCTACAGAGTGCCAAACAAGGATAGTTTATTTTAGAGTTAAATTACTCGAGAGCCTTATTGAACACCCATTTTCTTTCTGAGAGAATTATAAATTGGATTTTTATTTCAGATTCATGCTTTGTGCCGTATTTAAGCTGCAAAGACTGTAAGACCTCTACTGTCCTTCTCATCTTTCTTCTCAGTCACGCCCCACCCTCACGGAGACAAATCTCAGTGTAGAAATGGGCCTGGGGGATGCAGGTAGATAAGAGAATCAGCACACAGTATTCTGCTAAGTAGACAGTGTTTAAGACCCCACATAGGTGTTCTGCTTTAATAGAAATACCTAAAATCATCACCAGAAAAGTACTGGAGGCAAGAGTTATTACTTCACTAATCAAAACTTCACATTAAGATAGTCTTAAGTTCTAGTCTAAAATCGGAAGGAGGTCTGTTGGGATTCCAGTATAAGCTCATACTGACAGTTTTCGAAATAAATAATCACATAACTGATGAACTGAAGGCAGAATGGAGGCCTTTAGCCCTGTAAGGTTTCAGGGCTGTTAATTTGTGTATTTACCAAAACATGTTTGAGTTTGAAAACATACTTTATTTGGTTTGAGTTTGAGAACATACTTTCACATTGCCTTGTTCTTATAAAACTGCTTCTGCCTTAGTTACATACCTTTTACTGGACAGGAACAAGCTGAAAGCTGGCTACCTAATGTCAGTGGAGTCTTCTGAGGGGTTCCTGGATGAAGTCGGGTCCCAGGCGCTGGGTGCGGGATCATACACGCCGCCAGCCACAGTCCTTCAGCAGATAGACTCCGTAGCTGACGCCGATGTCGTAAACGTGAGCGAATAAAAACTTCTGATTCTACATCAAATAATTTGACCCTAGTGATCCAATCTCAGAAGGCATGCATAAGCTCCACTGGGCTGTGTATGTCCCTGTCCTGAAGTTTGGTGCCTCCCTGGCTGGTGTGGTGGTGGGAGGGGCTCATTCCCATCACATCTGCAGATGGCTTCCTTGTCAGCTCGGTGTGTGTAGCTTCCTCATTCAGCTAAAGTACCAATAGATTAAACCATTTCAAATTCCAAAAGGTCAAGAAGAGTTGAATAGTGGCAATTTCATGTGATTTTCATGTGATTCTCCTCCCAAGAAATAAACTCTGTCGTGCCAGTCCTGCACGCCCCAGCATCTTGGGATTTCCGTTCATCTTCTCAGCCGAAGACATTCCTCCTGCTATTGGTGTATTTTTTTTAACATATATTATTGTGAGATTCAGTTGTTTTGAGGGCAAGGACTACGTCTTATACCTTTTTGTATTCTCTATTGTACCTAACAAATATATGGACTACAGAATAAATCCAAAATCAGTGGGTTTTCCCCAGTTCTTTCTATATTAAAAATGTTAACTCCTCTTGCATTGTAGAGGTCTCAGCCATCTTCTCACCGACAGCTCTACCTTACGTAGGGACAGTGGGGATAGAAAAAAGAAACAGGTTATTTTAAGGTAGTAATCCCGGCCCGATAGCACTTGGCCCCTGTTTGTCATTTTCACACTCTTCCTCCTCCTCTTGTGTACGATCGCCAAGTGGGGCCCAGCCTCTGCCGCCTCCAGCACTGTGTCTCCGTGACAAAGTTGGCTTTATAGAACACGGGGGCTGCTACCCGTGGTAGTGCACCGAAACGACCGGCCTCTGGTCTTGAAATAGTGGCATAAGGAACACAGTGGGAGAAAGTTTGACTTTTATGTTACCAGTATATTTTTACTGGCTCAGACTATTTGCTGTTACAATACAGAAGCAGCAGAGTACTCCCCGGCCTGAGGCCGCCTCTGCCCTATTTTGCAATGTCAGTGAGGTTCTCCCTAACCCCCCCTTAACAGCTACCCTCAGATCTGGAGTATCACACTTGCTCAGTCACAAATAGGAGGGAACATGCATCAGAACACCCAAGCTTATTTTCTTATAGTGTCCCAAACTGAAATAATGCATCAGCCCTCTCCTATAGTTAACTTCACAAGAGGTTAGTACAGAGCTGCTGGCTCAGGATACCTGGTCCTACACGCTCTTGAAATAATGGGATAAATAAGTTTGTCTACTGGATAATGCATTTTCTTATCTCTGTTAATTTTTCCTCTCTTTTTTTGTTTGTTTAAAGGCTGCAAAGAAGTTTGTTTCTGGCCAGAAGTCAATGGCGGCAAGTGGAAATCTGGGCCATACACCTTTTGTTGATGAGTTGTAATACTGAAACACATCTTGCAGGGAAGAGCTGAACATGTTCTCAACCCAGAGCAGCAAACACATGAAAGTCAAAGATCTCTAATAGAACATTTATCTTTTTTTTTTTTTTCAATGAGGTGAAATGTCTTAACATATAAATACAGGTAATTATCCCCAGCTGACTTAAAGTCAATAAAACATTCTGTTTAAATGTTTTTCTTGCATCTTTGCTATTGGTAATCAAGTATTTATTATATGTTGAGATCTTTGTTTTAGATGCTGTAAAGGAGAACAGGAACATAATAATAGAGTCCAGAAGCATCAGAAACTATTAAAATTAAGATAATTATTGATGGCTTTTAGAGATAAAACCAGTTTAAAAATCTGTCCTCTTGGGTCAGAATAATTAGTTGGGTTTTACCCCCTTTCTGTCTTTTTTGGAATAAAGTTATTTCCTAAAAATATAAATTCCCTAGTCATATCCTGTGTTCCCGCTGCCTCATTTTATGTTAGATTTATCTTCACTTGTGTCACCGAGTTTTGTCTTTTTTCTCATCTTCTCCCTCTCACTCATCTGTTTGTTTCTTAGGGATGAAAAGGGGGAAAAATTGTTATGTGAACAAGCCAGAAAAATATATCTCTTATTTTAAATAGGGCATCTGAAGTTTGCAAAACAAGAGAAACGAAGTATCTAAATAAAAGTGTGATACTTACCTTAAAAAGTGAAATTTTCTCTATGTTCATGCATTCTGATCCTGGGTTCCTCTGCTGCATTTTGTAAAAGATGAGACGTTCTTCTCAGAAGGGAGTGTGTGAATGATGTGAATGACATTCCTATTTTGAGAATAAGGTGGTGAGGCCTGTCCGGCCCCAGAGCAGTGTTTGGCTATCACATGGAAGAAGGTCTCTGAAGGCATTACAATGCACTTGTGAAAGAACTGTGAAGTCTGCACATATTACTGTAAGTATAGCAAACCTGTACAGAGCAATGCACAAAAGTTGGGTGTGTTCAAGATAGATGCTTATGTGATCACCAACTTGCAGACTTTCTCCTAAGCAACTTTCGATACAGGTGGAACCTTGCTCTTTTCAGCCTGGGTGGCAGCTTTCGATACAGGTGGAACCTTGCTCTTTTCAGCCTGGGCGTAGTCTTCCATCCAAAATGCATCCGAGGTGGAGGAGGCCGTGGAGGAGGAGGAGCTCTCCTTGTCGTGCTTCACCATTGTCCAGTATGGAGAAGGGGCTCTCACTTCTTTCTTGTGATCTCTGTGAATCATCACGTCACACTGAATGTCTTTCCCTACGCTAATGGTATGGTTCTTCTTCTTATATCCATGCCACTCTCTGGAGATAGACATCGGTCTTGCAGACTGAGGCCCAGTGGACCCTGGGTCTTTATAATACTTAAGTTTTTTATCTGAAACTACATCTTCGTTGTCATCACTGCTTGCCAAAAGGTCATCTTTTGACTCCTCAGTTTTCTTTGTTGGGCTGAAATGAAAAAAAGAAGAAATGGACTGTTAATTGTCTGAACATTCATTGTCCCCTAACAAGACGTCTTAAAAGCCGCTTTGGTTCGTAAAAGAAAGAATACGATTTAGCTTTAGCACTTTGTGTTGTTGACGGTTTTCTCTTTAAAAGTACCTTTACGTTTGTTTCCATTCCTAAGTGTAAATCGAATTCTGCCTTGGATCATTTCACATTGCTTTGTACTAACTTAAGCCAGAGTACTGACCAGAATATTAGCAGGCCTTAAAGTGTAGGTTAATTTGCCTCCAGAATGATAGTCAACCTGGCCATCTCCACAGAGCTCTGTTCTAATGGGTCACATGGGGTCAGCAATAACCACAATAACAGGGTATTACCAATTTCCAGCGTATTGAGAAATTAGTGGGCCTCCAAGATCTTCAACACACTAGTAATCGGGAAATCTTTGAGTCTTCTTTTTTTCTCCTGAGCATCATCATTTGCCTCTCTTTTGGGTTTAAAAGCGTCGACTTACACAATGCCCTCTATGTCCAGATGTGTCTTGTTCGGCATTCTACTTACCTCTTGCTGGCCAAATGTTTTTTGGTTTCTTTTTTAATTTAATAGAGCACAAGCAGGGGAAGCGGCAGGCAGAGGGAGAAGCAAGCTCTCCCAGAGCAGGGAGCCTGATGGGAGGCTCAATATCGGGGACCCTGAGATTGTGACCTGAGCTGAAGGTGGTCGTTTAACCAACTGAGCCACCCAGGCGCCCCTCTGGCCAGATGCTTTTAAAGATGTTTTTGTAACTTTCTTGAGAGCTCCAGCAGAGGAGCACAGCTCCTCATACCTCTTTGAAGGACAGACGTCCTCTTCAACCGAGCACGCAGCTTCCAGAGGGACGCACGTGAGCGATGAGGGAGGAGGGGGAACACCTGCCTGGCCAACCCAGTCACCCTCACATCCCCAACTCCTGGCTTTCTTGACTGTTGAAGCTTGGGCAGTGCTGGCCTGCTAACAACGCAGGCCTCTTCAGCTTTTCTAAAACCTGCGGTTCCTGTGCCCACTTACTACTCCCCCGAACGGATGCCGTTCCCTGCTCCCCCCTCATCCTGGTCTTTGTGATGATGGACCTCTGGCACATCTGTCCTGCTACAGGAAATAGGAATTCCTTTCTTCCCCAACGCCCCTCCCCGCCGCCAACCTTTCAGACTTGCTTGTGTCATCACTACTATTCTTGCAGTCCTGACTGTTCTGTGTGATTCCAAGAATTTGAACAGGTTTTCCTCAAGTTTCTCTCTTCTAGTAATAATTAGTAATTGAGTCTTTCTCCCTGAGAACCACTGAGAATCATTAAAATGTGGATTTTCCTTCATCCTCGATTTAGTGGGTGCAAAGAGATTCAAAAGATCTTAGGATCAGAACACTTGGCCTTCAGACATGCCCAGGACTTCCTGAGCAGCTTGTGAATGGGCGGGGGGGGATCCATGTTGCTTTTTTTTCCCCAGACGGCAAAGAATATCCTTTGTAACTCAGTATTCGGTAACTATAAAGAATAAGTAGTAGAGCCAGGTTCTTCCTAACTGAAGTATGATTATAAAACCATAAGCCAGCAGAGGTCAGAGTTAGTTGGAAACCGTTTTTAGACCACTAGGTCTGCCCAAAGTATTATGTGGAATATTCTCCAGTGTGCACGAAGTGCCATTTGCTCCTGAAAAAGATCTTACGAGCTCTGTGTAAGAAGCCTTTTCTTTCCTTTTGTGCTCCTTCTCTGTCCCCTTCCATGTAATTACCAAAGTGCCTTAGATGTAAGCACTTTGTTAAGGAAGGGATTCAGAAAGTGTCTGCTCTTGTTTCTGAATCCATGGGTTTTAGCCTCATACTGTAGTTGTGCTCTTCTGTTTCTCTCTTCTTTGCTTTTGAATGGTCAGTCTGCCGTTCTTAGATGTTAATATTCTGTATCTCAAACTCTGAACACTTAAAATGCTTAGAAACATAATCATTCTATAAACAAATGATTAAGAACCCAGGCTTGAGAGCTGTACTCCCCAGTACGGGGTCCCCAGCTGTGTGTGGCTGCTGAATTTAAACTGATTAAATCTGAATAAAATTTAAAATTCCCCAGTTGCAGTTCCTCACATTCCACGTGCTTAATCGTGGCTACTACGTGGGACAGCACAAATTGAGAACATTTACACCATGGCAGTAAGTTCTTCTAGAACATTGCTGCTCTGGAGACAGGCCTAGTGACAGACCCTGTGACCTCTGGCAAGTTTACATACACCTCTCTTGGCTTCCGTTTTCTTGCCTGTAATCAGGATAATAAAAAGCCTTGGCCTGAGGATTAAGAGGTATAATTCTCGTCAAGCAATGTAAACTGCATAGTAAGCAGTGTTATCATGAATGATTTTTAACTACATCATGATTGGTTTGGTTTTGGGGGGAAAAAACCTGTCCCCAATCTGTGCCTAATCTAAGGGGACAGACAACTCTACCCAGCTATAGTCCCGCTGTCAGCATGTGGGAATGCAAGCCCATCTTCTGATTTTTCAGGAGAAACCACAGGTGCAGATACTTTCCATGAAATCTTGGATGTGTAAGTTCAAATATTTTTCATTTAAACATTTTTGAAATGTACAGAAAAATGCAAAAAAGATCAGTTTAATGGAAAAAAATTATAAACACTTGGGTAGCCACACACACCCCCCGGGGGGGCAAGAAAGAGTACTGGCACCTGGAAAAGCCCCCTCGTATCTTCCTTTTTCTCTAGGTCACCGCTATTCTGGCTTTTCAAAATGTTGTGGGAGACCAACAAAGCACATCTGTTGACCGTATCAGTCCCTTGGACCACAAGTGGGAATATATGAAGTAATGTCAATGCAATGTGGGCCATCCTTTAGTTCTTAGTAAAGTCCCCAGCTAGATTTCCTTGAGCCCATCCCAATAACCAAAGATACACACAGCTGTAGCAACTCTAGCTCAGAAATCCTGTCAAATTAATAAGGACCACTCTTGCATCAGAGCACTGAATTGTTGAAGGAAAAGGATCTCATGTCATACATGTTATGCTCTGCAGGCCTTCCTCACATGTCTGACCTGCCGAAGGGTCCCTTGTACTCCTGGGTTACAGAGATTAAGTGATTTGTCTGGACCTCGAAAGCTGGGTTTTAATTTTCATTCCCTCTAAATAAAGGAAACCATGGGAAAGTCCTGTGGTAGATTTAGCATAATGGCAGAGATTTGCATTCCCCCAGGGCAACAGAGTAAACAATGGATGATACAGATTGCATCCTTGAAATTAGGAGAAATGCTGTGAAGGAGATACACGGGTTGCCCTGAAAGCATAAGATGGGTGGACCAGACAGTGTTTTAAAGCTTCCTAATTTAGTGAGGCCTCTTGGAAAAAGTTTGCACTGTAAGCCTTCAAGGATGAGTAATGACGGGGTCCTAAGCATGTTGCAGACAGAAGAGCAAGTGCAAAGGCCCCGAGGCAAAGAGAAGGCAAAAAAGCTGAGAGCCAAAGTGGACTAGAGAGGGCAGAGGAGAGAGAGCAGTATGAGGTGAGGCTGTGGTGGGATACAGACAGACACTAGCCACATGGGGTAGCATAGACCAGTCCAAGGATTTGGGTGTTTGTCCCGAGAACAGAAGGTCTTAAAAGATTTTAAGCAGGAACATGTCAAAATCAGACCTGCATCGTAAAAGGACTGTTCTGTGTAGAGAATGAATAGGGTACAGGAGTGGATGGTAGAGACCGAATGGTGACTCTTGCTGGGGTGGTGGTGGTGGCTGGCGAGAAACGGACGAATGTGAGAGATAGCTGGAAGGTAAAATGACAAGCCCTCATGATTATTGTGGGTGGAAAGAAGGCAATGGAGAAATCTAGCACAACCCCTAAATTTCTGACTTGTTCAGCTAGGCAAATGTTCGCCTAGTAAGAGAGGGCCACTGGAGATCAGTGGTGAGCTGGCTTTTGATTTTTTTGGCACAAGGAGTGTGAGGGGTTCGTGATACACCCAAATGGAGCTACCAAGTGGGAGAGGAAGGATTTAAATGTACAAGTTTGAAGGTGATAGGATTTGAAAAAAAATCACTCATATTCGCAGAGGGATAGAAACCACAGGCATCAGTGAGAGATGGCCCAGGAGACTGAGACAAGGAAGCCAAAGGTTCAGCCCCAGGGAAGGGCAGGGCAGAAGCCTGGGGAAGATGGTATTTCAACAGGAGTGGGGGTGGGGTTGTACAGTGGCGAATGCTGCTCGGAAGCCAAGAGTAATGTAGACTTGAGAAGAGTCCACTGGAGTCAGCAACATGAGGGCTGTGGGCGGCCCCGCCAAGAGGTCCCTTGGCCAGGTGAAGAGAGCAAGGCCTCCACTAAGGTGCGGTGGGGCAGAGCGCCCGAGAAATGATCTCCAGGGGAAACGGCCCACAGCTGCTACAGCATCTCTCTACCTGACTGGAGTCAAAGGGACAGGACCGTGGCTCGGGGGCGCTGGGAGAGGACAGCGGCCTCAAGGTGGGGTTTGTGAAGAGGACAGAGGCCTAAAATAAGGCTTCCATGTTGTTGAAAAGGATCCAGAGAGAAGCTGAATGTGCAGGAGGCAAATGAAGCGATGGGATTCATAGCATGCGTTTAAGGCCAACTCTGGACAAGGGGACAAGTGGCAGAGCTCCCATCGGACGGTTCTCTGTAGAACCCCAGGTTCAGGGCTCTCGCCTTCATCAGTCTGCCTCACATTAGGTCCTGTAGATTGTACTTTTCCAGAAGGATTCAGAACCCACTAAATGATCGTGGTGGTTTCACCAATCCCTCCCACCCTGGTCCAGCGGATCCTTCTCCCATGAAACCAAGACCCAGTGCTTCACACGGCCCCGGGGGCGCTAGCATAACAAAAGATTTCCTAAAAAAAAAAAACGATCTACTCACCGCGTTACTGGGAATTTGGTCTCAGGGATTAAATCATAGATTTCTTGCCACTCTTGTGGTATGTCAATAAAATCTCGGTAAATCTTGATCTGTAGTACTGTTCCTATGGTGATGTGTTGCAAAAGTTTTAAAAATTCTCGAAGAGTATATCCTAACACATTAGCATGGCCAACACTAATCAGAACATCACCTGAAGAGGGAAAAAATTATCAGTAAAATTAAGATAATGGGTCAGTGGGTTCATAGCACTTCTGGCTCTAATGTAAGGTGTTTCATTTTAAGGGTTCATATTGTTGGTTCATTCTGAACCCAAACCAGGCTTCAGCCTTTATTTAATAAAAGTGGTCATCTCAGTGACATGAGTGTCCTTTGCATAATGGAGAATGCATGCAAGATGTTTCTTAATAGTGGTGTAATGGTAGGTATTATTTCACGTTTTTACTGCATTTCTGTAGTCCTTGGTGTGTCAGAAGCTAAAAACCATCTATAATCGGAGCCATCACTTAAGATTCTAAAAATGTGTGTGTTTCAAGTAAAATAAATAGCTATTACTATTAAAAAACCACTTACACTAAGTGAATCAATGACCTAGTTTCTCTTGTACCTGCCTGGCAATTTCCAGTGCCCTCCACTGGTATTAACATCAAAAGACTTTGATTTTAATTTCCTGCCTTGCACAGTATTAGTTGAACAAATAATTCTGCATGAAAAACACTGGGCATGTAGCACGATTTCATTAAGCTTACAATGTCTGTACAGGGAGTATGTTGGTTAAAGGGATTTGACAGCTAGGTTGTCTACTTTAGGGCATTGCTGGACAGGGAGGGAAGCGTGACGGTCAACCATGGAGCTTTGGATCCCCCCACCATGTGGGAGGAAAACCACATCTTGATCACAAGCTCCTGGACCCCCAAAGTGGGTGTTAAAAAGACTACTCATTTGGGCGTGGACGTGTAAAGGAGATCCAGCCATGGGGCAAGCCCACCTGGGTCACTGAACCCGGAGCAGGAGATGCAGAAGCGTGACAGGAGCACCCTGCTGTGGGGGGTAGTTACAGATGGCCCTGTGTTCTCTCGTTTTCGAAGCCTGGTTCTCCAGCCTTTCCGGCAATTCTGTCAGACTCACTGTTCTAAGTTCAGTGCCTTAATAGAATGGTTTTCTATTGGTTGCTGTGAAGAATCCTGACTACCACAAGGACACCCAGCAAGAAAGGAAGGAATACAAAGAAATTACTTCTGAAGGGCTCACAGTGAGTATAATCTTAGCAAATCTTACTAGAACAGCTTGCCGAATGGTTAATGGAGACTTTATAGCTAATACTAGATGAAGGGACTCCAGTTAAGTCCCAAAGGGGAGGCTCATCTCGTTGTGCATGGGAAGTAGGGGCCCTCAATTACCCTCTTTGCAAGATAGCCAGAAGCCTAACCCCCGATAAGAGGATGAAGCAACTTCTCTGAGACTACACCCCACTGTGCGATAGTTTAGAATTCTGCTGATCTCAAAGGAAGCCTCTGGGGAATGCCAAAGACAATTTTTCATAGTGCTAGGTCCTAGTTTCCTAGCAGAAACTGAAGTTTGAAAGTAGTAAAGAAAATGAAGACTTAGAAGGGTGGAGAAAACCTACTTCGGTCTTAGAAAGTAGCTGAGGGTAAAACCAGCCAAGGATCTGCAGCTAACTGCTAAATGAAACAGGTTTTCCCCCGCTGCCTGGAGAGTGTGCAGTCTGGAACAGCTGTTCATCCTATGGAGGTTAATTACAACAGCACACCCACCCGCAAAAAAAAAAAAAACACAAAAAAACCCAAAACCCACCAAAACCAAACACCCCTCACTGGACGAGCTTATATGCCTAATGTTAAAAGAAGCATTTATAGCTGAAAGCTACGGCTTGGCATTCTGCTCAATTATGTTGTTAAAGCGTGTTTTTTAATCAAGAGGACAGAAAACAAACAGCGTAATTCCATGACGATCCTGGCTGTGAACCAAACATGTCGTCGTATGAATGTGATTACTCTGCCAACAGATATTAACATTGCCCTTCATTAAGACATACCAATGTGGTATTTATGAATATCAAACTCATTACACAGTTTTTTTTTCTGTTTCAATGGGCTGTAGGAGCCACATTATTATATAAACTTTGTCTCGATTACCTACGTTAAATCAACTTCGCAGCAGCCAAGTTACTACTGAAAAATAGATTTGCCTATTTTTCTCCATCTCTCCCGATGAGGCTGTGAGTTCCATAAGCTCCAGGTGGGTTACAGACCACATCTGTTTGGCTCACCTTTATAACCCCGTGCCTAGCAGGATACCTGCACACAGCAGGCATTCAGGAAATGTTTACTGAATGAATGTGGCTGGTATGTGACTTGTATTTTGCCTTCAAAGTTACACTAATTTCTTAAGCCTCTAGGTATCAGACTATACTTAAAACCATCCCGGCTGGGGCGCCTGGGTGGCTCAGTGGGTTAAGCCTCTGCCTTCCGCTCAGGTCATGATCTCAGGGTCCTGAGATCGAGCCCTGCATCAGGCTCCCTGCTGAGCAGAGAGCCTGATTTTTTTTTTGTCTCTCTCTCTGCCTGCCTCTCTGCCTACTTGTGATCTCTCTCTGTCAAATAAATAAATAAAATCTTAAAAAAAAAAAAAGAAAAAAAAACCATCCTGGCCAAAAGGAATGTAAAGTTTAGCCAGAATAAACTAACACTAAACTAAGCTAGGAAATCAAAAGAAACCCTATTTTAAAGCACCAGAAGAGAAAAATCTGATGCACATGGATAAGAAACAATGGAGCTGGGAGATAATGTGGTCAAAGAAATAGCAGGCTTGGGGGACTGTCACCTCTGAAATTCTCAATCATTGTCAAAAGCACTGAATTCCAGTTTCTGAAACCAAGACACTGAAGGGAAGTGACTGACCTGTCATGAAGAGATTTGGGACTCTGGACTCTCTCTGATACTGAAATCCTATTTCCAGGATTTCAAGGGGCCCATGGGCTGGAACCCCAGCCCCGTGCATCCACTTAGCTCTGTGCATTGACCCACTTCCTTCATCTCACCAACCCTCTCGTCTTGTTACCCACCTTTCAGGAGTGGTGCAAAGATTAAATGAGAACATGGATGCGGAAACTCCTTGCACGATGGCTGTGACAAATATGTCTTATTCATTTATCAAGCACAGACATACCAAATGTGCCAGCACTGTAGGTTAAGTCCTGGATTTAAAAGATGAATTCCAGGTGCATTTGGCTGGCTCAGTCAGAAGAGCATGAGACTCTTGATCTCGGAGTCATGAGTTCAAGCCCCACATTGGGTGTAGAAATTACCAAATAGAAAAAACTTAAGAAAATGGAAACCTTTATTGGGGCGCCTGGGTGGCTCAGTGGGTTAAGCCTCTGCCTTCGGCTCAGGTCATGATCTAGGGGTCCTGAGATCAAGCCCCGAATGGGACTCTCTGCTCAGCAGGGAGCCTGCTTCCTCCTCTCTCTCTCTGCCTGCCTCTCTGCCTACTTGGGATCTCTCTCTGTCAAATAAATAAATAAAAACCTTTAATAAAAAAAAAAAGATGAATTCCAGACTGCCTCTGACCTCAAGGAGCCCACTGACCATAGGTCCTGCTTCCCACGCATAAAAACACACTCCTGTCGCACTCCAGCGAGTATGCACTGTGGTTACCGACCAGTGTCTGTCACCCGACCCCAGAGAAGCTAAGGAGAACACGCAGAAAAGTTCACACGACGTGTCCTGGACTTCCTCTGGTCTGGAAAGTCCAGATCTCTCTTTCTGGTACTCTGCCCCAGCACCAAGTGTTTTGGATTTTAAGGTGAGGTAAATGTTCACAACGGCATCATTTATCTCTTTTCTTTAACCCACTGCTTCTAACCGGAGCTGCACTTAGACTCAATCACCTGAGGAGCTTTGAAACCATGAACTAACCGATCCCCAGCCCCAGACCAATTGAATCAGAGCCTCTGGGGAAACAGGGCGTAGGCATCTCAGATTTATAAGCTCCCCAGGTGATCCTAATAGGTAAGAGTTACAAATCAGTGGCTTAGTCCACTGAACCACCACCCTTTTTTATTAAAAACAACAACAACAACAAAACCCAAGTCTGGAAACTAAGAACAGCCTAAGAGAAATGACTGCCAGTATTCCCACTGAACTGTCGTTTTTAAAGCACTTTCATAAACCTTCTCTCTCCAAATCCTAGCTGCCTCTGACCAGGGTGGTATTATCCCAAATCAGAGCATGAGGTGACCTACACCTGGAAGGTTAGATGACTTTGCCCAAGGTCACAGAACTACAAAGTGGCAGAGCAGCTAAAACCAGGTGGCTCTTCCCTCTCACCACCCTTGCAGCCCATCGTGTCTCCTTGGCTCCCAAGCACAGCCCTAGAACCGGAGCAGACACTGGAAAACATGTTTCTAACTGGAAGAAAAAAATCATTCACCCCAAGACAAGAGAAGCAGGGTGGTGTTTCTTGGGCTTAGAAGTGTAACAGAGAGGGTTCAAGCCACTGATCCCTGGTGGGCAAGTTACTAAATATCTGATTCCTTATCTGTAAGGTGGTTTAATGCACAATCGACCTCAGGGATTGTCAGGAGGGTGAAGTGAGATCATGCGTCTGAACGCTAACGATGATTCACACTGCCCATGCAGGAAGGAAGGTTTATCCACCAAGAGCCATAAACTCTGGAGTGACACCATACCTGTGTGTGTTGGGGGGTGAGCCCAGGCAAGGAACTCAAGCTCACCGAGCCTCCGTTTCATCCCCTGTGAAAGGGGGATAACAACGGCTCCTACCTACAGACTTAAGGTGAGAATTTGGTGAATAAAAACATACACAGTGAGGGTTGATAAAGTGATAGCCAGGGCGTGGTATGCAGATATCTGCTCTCAAGCAATATTATCATTATTGCACTTACACTAACACCTGCTAACCGAGTCTCCCCAGAGGCAGACAGGAGGGAGGCAGAGGGAAGACCACAGTCACCTGGCTTGAGTTTTCCATCCCTGGCCGCAGCCCCCTTCCGGATGAGATGGGTGATCTGGAGGTAGGGCCCGTTCTGGATGACGATCAGGCCCAAGCCTAGGTTCCCCACAGTGAGTTTGGTCTGCTGAGTTTTGCTCAAGTTGTGCACAGAAGACTTGACGTCGAAGCCAGTTTGTTTTTCTAATGAAAAGAGGGAGACTTTTTTTCAGTCCGTCACCTAGACAGCAACATGACAGTATCACTGGGGTGCTAGAGCCAGTTTTAGGACTGGGGACCCGGAGCAGTTTCGGAACCTCTCTGTTCCTCAGTTTCCCCGTCAGTAAAGTGAGGACGATAAATGTCTAGCTTAGAGGCTTGTTATGAGTATAAATGAGACAGCTGAAGGGCTTTGCACAGCGCCCGGCCCCTGCTAAGTGCTTCATTAACGTCAGTTATCATCTCTCCACTTGATAAATTTTTCTGAGGCAGACTGTGCGCTAGGAAACAACAATTTCTTGCCCTTATGGATCTTCCAGCTTAACGGAGGAGACAGATATCCATCAGTCACGTCAATGTATGTCGAATAACAAACGGTAACACACGCTATGAAGGAAAAGTATAGAGAGCTCTGAGGGGGACTGACAGGAGGCCAAGGTATCCTGTGGAGAAGGCAGTTCAGGCTTCATGCAGGAGGTAACGTTTGCATGGAGGTCAGAAGGACCCACAGGAAATATTTAGACCAAGGAGAGTGGAAGGAAGTCTCAGAGACAGGAAAGAACCAAGAGCGAGAGCAAGAGATGCATGGGGCAGGCGGAAGGAACAAAGGCAGAGACCACTGGGGCTGTTTGACAGGCTTACATCATCGCTGCAAGGGCTGAGGAGGGATTTAAGCAGGACACAGTAAGATTGGCTTTTCTTTTTTTTTTTTTTTTTTAAACAAAACCAAACCATGGATTGTGGGGTCCAGAGTGGAAGTGGGAAATCAAAGTATTATTGTCATCACCCAAGCATACCATGGCATAGTGGAAATAGCAGGAAAAGATCATTTGGCAGGAAAATCTGGGACAATGGGTGGTGGTGGAGGGGTGTCGAAATATGTTTTCTACGGGACTAACTCTCAAAAGAGAAGTTTCAGGCTGTGGAGTGATTTAAAACAAGTTGGTCTCTCAAGAGGAAGCTTCTCAGAAGACTTATTTTCAGTCCACAGGAAGCTTCTGGGGACATTCCTTTTCAGCACACTTTTCCTCAAGGACAAGTGACAAACCGCTCCTTGCCGAGCCTTTGGCAAATCCATAGGACTGTGGTGTTTTGAGGGCCCAGAAGTGGTCTCTACTGCTGAGGGAGGGGCTCTCCCAGGCCCTCCACCCCCAGGTGTGGGCCCGCAGCCAGGTTCCGGGCCCTTCCCTCCTGAGCAAGCATTGGAGCATATCTCCAACCTCACCTTCCCCCAAACCACAGATGCTCTCTAGAAAAGAAATAAAGGAACCCAGTGTAAAGAAGGTTCCACATTGGGAGACTGCTCAGGATTACAGGAGAGATTTGCAGGAGGTCGTACCCCTCCTTCAGTCTCCAGTTCCTGAACAGACAGAGAAGGTGCATCTTAGCAGGCTTTGAGCACCAACCTCAGCTTGCAAGTTAAATGAGCTTCGGATAAGATAACCAAGAAGCACAGTCTCAAAAGCCGGCAGGGTTAAGGGAAAGTAGGCAGCCTCAAAAGACTCCATACCTGATGATTCCACCTTCTCCGCAGAAAGGGCAAAACTGCAGGAGACAGATCGGGAGCGCCAGGCACGCAAGTACAGGCTGGTGGCAAAGGGGCAGGCGCAAAGCCGGGGCGGGGGCGGGGGCGGGGGCGGGTGGGGAGGGCTGGAGTTGAACTTCTCCGCATCTTGATGGTGTGGGTCATCGTTTGTCAAAACTCGAAGCTATACACTAACAATGAGGGACTCTTCCTGTATGTAAAGCATAGTTTAGCAAACAAACAACGGGGAGAGGCTACCTCCCAGGCTAAGAGTCTGACGTTCGGTCCCATTTCACAGGTGAGTCAAAGTGATGAAGGCTTTGTCCCCCAGGCGTCGCCCTCTCCCCACTCCCCAGTTACCTTTTTTGTTTTTTAGGACTGCCTTCTTCATGGCCCCAGGAGGGCAGGCCCCTCAGAGGGCCTCCCAGAGCCGAAGCTGGAGTGGGTCCAACTCCCAACTGTTTCGAACTCGCGAGGAGCCGGCGCACTGCGGCCCGACCGCGGGCGGCGGGGCGGACCGTCCAGGCGGCGAGGAGACCCCGGGCGCTGCTCCTCGGGATGGCCGCCAGGGGGCAGAAGTTGGACAGTTGTGCGGTTACAGGGCCACGGTGGACCCGGGAAAGTGGAGTGAGTGGAAATTTGGGGGGAGAAAAACAAAACTTGTGCGGGGGGGGGCGGGGGGGGGGGCTTAGCACAGTGCCTGGCTCACAGTGGGTTCATCATCCATTCTTGGAAAACAAACGGGGAGGATGGAAGAAGCACCGAGGAGGGTGTGGCAGAGATGTGAAATGGTCTGCGGAGGAAGATCATAACTCGAAGGCGGTAGCAGAGCGCAGAAGCCCCTTGCTGCTCTCGCAGTAATGGTGTTTTTAAATATTGTTGCACCAACAGCGCCAATTGTTCTGGAAGTGCACTGTTTTCATGGATGTTTTGAATGAGGAAGGGCCAAGGGTGGCTCGAAAAAAAAAATGAGTCACGATTAGGAGAGGAATTAATTCTTCCTTCTTTTTTCCAAAATAATCTTTCCTACTCCCCCCCCCACACACACACATTCACTCATAGGACAAAATTCACACATAGGCCCGCTTTGTGGTTTGTACTGAGGCTGGGAACACAACAGTAGGCAAGACAAACAAGGGTCCTCTCCTTTTGGAACTCGGATTTAAAAAGCAGATGAAATGGACAATTTTAGGAAACTATATATTATCAAAAATATATTCTAGAAGAAATAGGAAACAACGTGATGAGATGGGTCCTGTTGTCATCCCCACTCTGACGACGCTGAGAGGGTAAGCACTTTGCATCTATGCTTTCAACAGATAGTTACGAAGCATTTTTAAGGTGTCGGGCACTGTGCACAGATTTCCGTGGTCAGCCTGGGCAGGTTCCCGTTTAGTTGGCCATTTCTGTGGCTCTACGCAGACAATAAATCAAGGCAGATTTTCGTTGGATAAATCCTGTCTAGCAGAAGCTGAGACAAAGGGGAATGAACAGAGCTGTCCATTTTGGTGTTCTCACCTCAAGGAGTCTCCAGCAGGTGGCTTCCCATGCCCAATCACCAGTTTCTTCCTCCAAACCATCTGGCAAAGTGTCTGTCCTGACATCAAATTAATTCCTCCATAAAATGCATCCTTTCCTCCATCTTCCTTTGAGTCGGGGGGATGGTGAGAGTTTGTTTGGTGAGGGGAGCATATCAGCACCCGGCACACAGGGGGTCTGCCTTCCCTCCATCCCAGGTGAAAAACTCTCCCTAGGGCAGTTGTCAAGATCACACTGATGGGTGGGATTGCAGGATACGAATGGTCATGGCTGCTATCCTGGGCTGCCCAGATCCCCCTTCAGGACTGAAGGATTTATTCCTGCCCCTCCACCCCACCCCTGCTTCTAGCTGAGCTCCTTGCCCAAGATCACACCTTCCCAGGACAGCTAGTATCCAGTGGTCCGACACTGTAGGGTAAAAACCTGGCTCCCTCAGTCCAACTCAAGCAACTCTGGAGGGCAGTCCCAGCTCCAGAATTCCTGTGGGGTCCACTGAGGTCCCTCTGTGGCTTTGCTGTCACCTGAGTTCTTCCTTTGCCAGGTTCTGCTTCCCCTCCTTGCCCCCATAGGTGTGGGTCCCAAGAGCACTCCCTAAGAAACTCCCTGCAACTCACGAGTGTTTCCTAGACCCAACCCGCAGCTGCTAGCGCCAGAGATGGTCTAAGAGCGTAGATGCTCAGATGGGATTTTAGAGCTGGATGCTCCTGCTGTCCAGGTGATAATGAGGGTCCCATCCCCAGTAGAGGAGGCGTGTACATGGCCTGAGGCCCAGGGGAACACTAAGACTGTTTAATTTTTCACCATAGTAAAATGGAATGGTTTGGCACCCATATGATCTGCCTGAGTATCTCTTAGTACTCCTTTGCCCTGTTTTGACAGTAAATGGACAAAGCAGCCAGAGCTTGAGAAATACATGGCAACCAGTGGCTCAGTCTCCTTAGGGATAGAGGTCTGAGCCACCTCATCATGTAAGCCACCTAGACCACAGAGGGGCCAGCAAAAGGTGAGAGGAATCTAGGGTAGCAGGAGAGGAGGAAAGTGATTAGTGTGTCAGTTACGCCTTGAGATGAACCTGCAGCAGCGGTAGGAGCTGTAGTTTGTCCCGCTAACCTTCCTTTTATAAGATTCCCACAGGAAAACATCTCCACCAGGGTCCTGCTCTCAGAACTGAAAAGAAACAGGTGGTTCTGCATAGCACAGAGAGTGCACTGTGCAAATGTTGCCCTCTGCTACCTGGTCCCCCTGAAGACTGAAGGACCCAGTCCCCAGCTACTAGGATGGTGGGAGGTTGACAGATCACAGCTGTCAGCCCTCTCAAGGAATTGTTCTTGGCTGAAGAGCAGCCTCACCCAAGCTCGTGCCCCACTCCTGGGGTAGCTGGCATCTGATGACTAGTCCATGCAGGAACACAAAGCCTTGGCTCCTTTTCCCCCACTCCAAGCAGCCATCCCAGCTTCAGAGCTCCCCACGGGGTCTGCCAAAGCCTCCCATGACTGCACCACCAACAAACTGCTCCCTTGGCCTCCCCTCCCCTGCTCATGAGTGCACTCCCTAATAAACTCCCTGCATGCTAATTGATAATCTCTTGTCTCTGAGTCCGCTCCAATGGAACCCAGTCTGTGAAATGAAAGGAGATTTGAGCCCAAGGCACAAACTATTAAACTGTGGATTTAGTTCTTTTGTTTTCTCTAATCCCAGAAACCCCACATACATATGTATGGTGCATCCACCACACTCCTGGCCTGTGTGGTGGACTTGATCCCCCCACCCCCCCACCCTGGGGAGGCAGTGTGTTCTTTATCCTGTCAGGCCAAAGATACTCCTTAAAGAGAAGAGTGATTACACAGTCCCCTCCACAGCTTTCACCAAGGTCCCATCTGGATTCAGCCTCTGCTGGGCCAAGGCCTACCATCCATCACGATAAAGCACACCATGTCCATGGCCCCTTAACAACCACAGGATGCCTATTTATGAGTCCAGGCTGCCAACATAGATCCCTCCTGTGGGCTTTCTGGGTCCGCAAGGATTTTCTGCCTTAAGGATCCTTGTGGCTCATCTCTCTCCAAAGAGAAGAGTCCCAGCTGCTTTGCTTACGGGGGGGTGAAGGTTTGGGGAAGTTCTATCACTGCAGCAGAGTGCATGACTCTGGGAGTCTATTAAGTAAGAGGAGGGAAAGAGGCCCAAGGAGGTGATAGGACTTTACCAAGTTCAAGGCTGTAGAAGGGGTGGGACTGGAAAACAGTTTTGTATCTTTTCTGTTCCATCATACCACCTCTCCTAACCCTTAGGGTTTGTGTCTACTAAAATCTAAACTGGGATATGGAGGAGAAAGGAACTGATCTATCCCATAGATCTCAGAGAGGCTTGGGACTGTGAAACACCAGATACACTGGAAGTCAAGAATGAGATGTGGGGCTAAAAACAGGATTAACAGGAAATATGTAAACAGATTATTTGGTCCTTGTCCACTCCTCCCCACCCCCACCATGTTGGTTGGAAAGAATGAATGGGATAGATGACTGTTGTCTAAAGTGACGTGTCACCATTAAACTGGTTAAAAAAAAAATTCTCAATTTTTTTTTAACTTCACACTTTTTTTTTCTACAAGTTTAAGCATAGTTGACATATATTAATTTTGGGTGTAGAGTAGTGATTCGACATTCATATACATGATGAAATCACCACGGTAAGTCTAGTTACCATCATACTGCTTGTTTTTAATCCTTTAATCTTAGATTCAGAAACTTTTGTGGAGGGGCAGAGATAGGGGGGACTGGGAAGTACTGCCCAGGTAGAAGGAGAAATTTATACGTGTATTATTTATGTATTTATTTATTTTATTTTATTTTAGAGGGGGTGGAGGGGCAGAGGGAAAAGGAGAGAGAGAGAATCTTAAGCAGACTCCACACCCAACACAGGCCCCATGCGGGGCTCGTTCTCCGGACTCTGAGATCATGACCTTAGCCAAAACCAAGAGTCAGACATTTAACCGACTCAGCCACCCAGGTACCCCATGTAGGATTACTGGGTAACAAAGACTCTGGATAAGAAGCCAAGAATATGACTGCATCAAATTCTAGTACTTAAAATAAGAAGTGAAGCCCTCCTACAGTAATGTGATGTGCGTATCTGAATCCCTGGAATGTATCAGTCAGCCTCTGCCAATTTCTGCGGCAGGAGAAAACTAAATGCTTTAATATATATTTTTAAAATCCTCCCCCACCCCCGCCCCAGGAGACCAAAGTTTGGACAGGAAAGTCTATAGACTAGCAATCAAATCCCTCCTCACCCAATCTATGTGGTGACACTTCTAACTCTCGGTGAGTTTCTGCAAGGCTATTGGATTTAGTGGAATTTGAAACTTGCTGAGTTTTGTGAACATATAGGCATTCCAAAAATAGAGACAGATGTCACTCTTCCAGGTTTTTCTAGAGATGACCTATGTGGTATTTAAGGAGAAAATGAGTGTCCCATCTCCTGTTTGCTGCATGGGGGACTATCCAGGAAAGAGTGAGCTGGATCCAAAGTTAGGGTTAATGGTGATCTGGTCCATGAGTCATGAAAGAAAAAGAAACCTCCACTAGACAGCAAAATTGTAGACGGAGAGATCATCTGTATTTGATCATAACAAATTATGCCAAGGTCTTGTTTTGTTCTTGCTTTTATCCATCCAAACAAAACGTCTCCTCAGGCCTCAACTCAGTAAGTGTATCACCAGACACCTGGTCACTCAGGCCAAAACCTTAGGAGTCATTCCTGAGGCCTCTCTTTGTTTCAACCCCTCCCCCATTTTCAGTTAGCCATTTTCCTTGCCTACAAAATAGCCAAACCTGTACAAGTTTCTCCATTTTC